GTGAGTGAGTGAGTGAGTGAGTGAGTGAGTGAGTGAGTGAGTGAGTGTGGGTGTGAGTGAGTGTGAGTGTGAGTGTGAGTGTGAGTGTGAGTGAGGGTGAGAGTGAGGGTGAGAGTGAGCGTGAATGTGAGTGAGAGTGAGTGTGAGTGCGAGTGAGTGTGGGTGAGGGTGGGCGAGAGTGAGGGTGAGAGGGAGAGTGAGTGTAAGTGTGAGTGAGAGTGGGGGAATGAGTGAGTGTGAGTGCGAGCGTGAGCGTGAGCGTGAGCGTGAGCGTGAGAGAGAGAGAGAGAGTGAGGGTGAGAGTGAGAGTGAGAGTGAGAGAGTGAGCATCTGAGAGCACAAAGTGCTGCGCCTGCCACGAAATCTGCACTTCAAGGTTCACCTCATCTCTCAAGTGGTTCGCAGCTGTCTCACTTGTTCACCCATCTGTGCTGGCACCATTAAGGTCTTTTGGTGTCCAAACTGCAGGCTTTCCCTTGCGCTCCAATGCTCACTTCGTACTTCTTGATCACCATCCGGAGCAGCGTTTCCAGGAGCTGTGCCATGATCTCGAGAGTCGTCACATCTCCTCCGTACAGCCTCAAGTGTCAATTCGCTGGATACACCAAGATCTCGTCCAATAGGGCACTCTCATCGGCGCCGTTCCAGCCGTGAGACCTTCCTTGCAGTTCACCTCCCCCTGTGCCCCTCCAGGAGGGGTCACTACTGTGTTCCAGGCGCGCCCTCTGCCAAGGACGTGAACATGTCTCCAGAAAAAACCACCAATCAGAATCCACCTCCATCTGATCATGCAGGACAAAGAGACAGCTTCTTACCCAACCCCGAGCGCAAAAAAACCCAACACGAAACCTGTGAAATCCTCCGAGTGCCCCTGCCAGGCCCTTGGCTGCGGTATTGGAGCGGTCGGCCACGCCCGCCTGAAGCAGCCCCACACCACCGCGCGATCCGCGCGACGTTTTCGCGTTGGGATGAGCGGGGTGAACGTCACGGTGGATCTGACACGACCCGTCTGGGGACTGCCAGTCTGGACTGCGGGACTCGGCCGGACGTGGTGGTTGAACAGAGGTCAATGGGGCAGTCCGGACTGGCAGTCTCATGGAGTGTCTGGGATGGGTGTTCCATGTGCTTGTTTTCATGAACGCTTTGAACAAAGAACGCGTTTTCAAGCGTGCATTTGGGGGATGAAGCGGTCATATCCAGTGCTCCAATGGTAGGTAGAGAGGGTACCCGCTACACCATCTACTAGCTTTGCATCATATAATGTAGACTGTTGATATGACCAAAACCCCCCACATGGAGATGAAAGGAACGTTCTTGTAAATTCTTTTAAAAGTCAACAGTCCACGTTAACCAAAAATGTCTTTGCTTTGCAATTAGGCCGTGGGCCGAGTGTTGGATTCAACATGATTCAAACCATCTGTTACTTCAAGGAGGTTTAAGGTGTCATTCGTTTCCTAAAGATTTGGCATCGCGGCGTAAAACCCGGAGCCCTAAACCCTCCTGGGTTCACCTCCTCAGTAGCTGATTCTGTTCAGTAGTTCAGTGGTCAACCAAGATCCCCCCCAGTTTTGACCCGCGGCCATTTCGGTGCAGGCATATGTCTTCGAGGATAAGTTGAAATGCACTGTATGTTGAGACACTACGTGGTCTCCCCCCACTGCCGGTCCTTGCGAAGCAGATCGATGAGGATCATATTCCTCAGTCGAGAGGAGGCGTCGACGGTGTCGAGACATGGTTGGGAGGTCAAAACATGTCAAAAAGCCGAAGCTCCGTTTGATGCCAGGTTGACATGTTGTTAGCCTGCCTAAATGGCCCAATTAGTTTGAGGAGCCCCGTAAGAGCCATATTAGGCCAACCTCCGTTGAAAGGTCAAAAACCAGGTCCAAACATGCCTCATATGCCTGTGCGTCCGTCCGGAGCCACCCGTGGACGGCCTTTTGTTGGGTCGGGTTCGCCCCATCTCCGCCGCATCGTTCCAGGCCCGTTCCCCAAGTCCACGGCCCGGTGCGTCCGGCGAACACGGCGCTGTTGGGAGAGAGGGGAGGTCATGACCTCTGTCCGGAAAAACGCAGATGGTTCTCAACAGACTTTGCCGCGGAAGAAACGATGGATACGACGGCTTCTTGTGGCTTCAGGGCCCCAAGAAGGGTGTCCTGTCCTTCATGTCGTTGGAGGTCTCCAAGTGGAGCAACACCAGCCCAAAGAATTCAGGTGTCCTGCCCCCTGCCCAGGCAGTCAGTGACGCAATTCTATTTGTGGACCTCATGACAAGACGTGGGAATTAATATACCGGGGTGCGTTGATTCTTTGGCGGAAATTCCACACCGCGAATATTTGGGCGTTCCACACCGAGGCTGATTCTTCCACACGAAGGTCTGGGGCGGTCATCAGTCCGGCCTCCGACCTAATAGTGATGGCCTCCAACCTAAGACAGACTGAAACAGACTGCGCCAGGCATCTTGTTCGTCGCTGTGCAGCAAAGGACTTGCTGTGTGATGTCCTGCACGTGAGAGGTTCTCACGCAATGTTTTGGCTCCAAGGGCAATCATTGGGAAGTCTAGTGCTATGATCACAAGGGGATTCACTCTTGTATCGTCCAATCCATGCTTTAAAACCCATCAAAATGGCTATGGAATATGTTTGCAGCTCAAATCCTTTGGTGTTTCTCCCGTGGTGCTTTTCCTTTCAATAAAGGAACAGACCACACCCTGCAGCCCATCGTGCTTGGTACAGCCTATGATGCCTATGACATCCTATGACAACCCATCCCAAATGAAACTGCAACATGTGGCATCATCGCGCTGAAGATGACCTCAAAATCACATACAATGTACCAGGGCCTTCCAAGAGGTGTCTATATAAATAGCCTCTTAGTGGTTATATAAGGGGTGTCCAGAAACCACCTGTTGGAAGGTGCTGGTATACATCCTCTTCGAACCACCCTTCTTCTTTCTGTTTGACCTTCCTTATCGGCTTCCCACCGTCATTGGTGCAGGCATCTTAAAATCCCTTCACAGGCGTCCAGATTGAAGGCCATTTCCGAAGCAAAGGCGAAATCCTTTTGGATCCATTTCCATTGCCACCACCGATTGGCTTCACGTCCTTTCCAACCTTGAGCATCAAGACGCCCGCTGCTGCATCAACTGGGTAGAGATCTCGCTCTTTCATCCGTATTGGAGATGTCACTCATTTGCCAGGCGCCTCACTCTTACTCTCCTGAATAGAGTCTCGATCCTAGGTTTGGACATCTCTCCAGATGATGAGACTCTGCGTCTCATCCGTCAGAGCTCCTTCAGGATCTGCCATCCACTCGCTCGCCTGCGAGGAATCGGCCTTCTGACCGTCTGGACCTGTCGGTCTCGGAGATCAAACCTGTCTTCCCTGCTTCCGTCTGGGTCTGAAGACGCATCGAGGAGATCTGTCTGGTGATCATAACATATCATAACGATGCATAGGTCCTGTGAGGGGGAAACACCTCGGTGTAGTAAATGCCCTTCTCTTCCAAAACGGACCGGTTGGGTTGGGTGTGGTTTTTACTCCAAGATCGGGGAACATGACGATGGTCTCGAAGTGTTCGCCCATGGCTGGCCGCGTGGCAGGGAAGTACATCCCGGGCTGTGGGGAGGCATTCAAAAGCGCAGATCAGTGCAGATCGTGCCACACTCATCGTTGTGTTATGTAGCTTGTGAAAGAACTTGGTCATTGACCTATTTTCTGGTGATTCTACGTCTATAGCTCTTGATCTATCTACTCCATATCGCCCTTTGGAAGCAACCTCGGCCTTATAAAGTGAATGTTTAAACATCCAAACCGAAGGGCTTTGTCCTGCAACAGGCACGCGATGCAAACCTTTGAGCTCTGGTCTGGCAAACAATGGGCGGCTGTCAGACGGTCCACCTTGTTCCGCGAAGACGTGACTTCCCCAATGGGCAGAAGGAGAATCCACCAACGACTGGCAAACAATGGGCAAATCCGCAAGAAGTCGACTCACAAAGACATCAACGTGCTTTGTTGCAGGGGGATTTTAGGTGATTGCTTCGGCCCGAAGTGAACTCTGCACGTAGGCCCGAACTCGTGAGCTTCTGATGTCCGAAGGCGTCCTTGTTTGAGCCCTCATTTGGGATCACCCACTTCGGTCTTCAAACATGTCTTCCTCCATCATTAGACGCGTCATTGGCTTCACCCAAACCAACAGCGCCACGCTCGCCCAACCGCGGCCCACGGACCCGCGGCCCATCCGTTCGCTCGCATCGGCCCGCGCGTGCGCTCGCTCAGCTGGCTCGGCTCCTGATTTCCTTTCAGTTCATCCCGATTGCCAATGGTCACCGTATAGGGCCTCGGCTGCTTGGACGGCGCCGTTCATCGGCGACGCGGACCGAGAAACCCTGATATCGTGGGCTGGCAAGCATGTGGTGGATTGAGCAGGTCTCCCGGTCGGCCGTGTTGGGCAGGAGTCTGCGGTGGATTTCTGTGGGGACAAACACTTGAGAAGCAATTAGGTTGGAGGCCATTGCTTGTAGGTTGGAGGCCATGGCTATTCTGTTGAGACCTTTGATGTATAGGCTCTGGGCTCGGTTTTTCAATGAGAGGTCCTGTGGACTGAACATTCTGAATTGTTACTCACACTGAACAGCCGATTGATGCATGTTGAGCAAAGACTCACAATGAAGATGTACACAACAACAAACATTGTACCTGGACCTTCAAAGGGGTGTCCTGTCTGGAGATCCCGGATGGTAGTGGGCTGGGGCGAAACCAGCCAGGTGGCCCCGACATGAAGGTGCTAGTACATCTGCTGTTTGCATGAAACAAATACTCAGAGTTCATGGAATCTCGGCTGAACCCCTAAGAGCTAGTCTGTCTGAAGATCTTAACCCAAACATGCACCATGAACCCTCCACCTCTGACAACCAACCGAAGTGCTTCCCGCGCCCACTTGCTATTAGGAAGGAGCTCTATGACAAGCACACTCCACCCCACCGGCCATCCCTGGGTCCCTTTTCGTTGGGGTCTGCCCCTGCCCCCCCCACCAGCGAGCCCCCGCGGGCGGAACGGGTGCTTCCCCCCCCGAGCTCCGCTCCAGGTGGCCCGTTGAGGAACTCGCTCGCCAGCTTCCGGACGCCCATGGGCCAGGTCGCCGTGAAGAAGAGCGTCTGCCGCTGCCTGGTGCCGCTGCGTCCGCGACGGGTCGCCAAGTGAAAGCGGTGAGTTTGGGGAGTTCGGGGTCCGAGACGCAACGGTGGAAGGAATTCACGGTGGAAGAGTATAGTACCCTAGGCTTCCAGTCGTACATAGTCGTACCTTCTGAGAAAGTGGGACTGGGGTGGGTGCCAGGAGGGTCCAGTCATACCTTCTGAGGAGGTACTTGGAGGTGTATGGGGTAAGGCTAGTAAGGCCTTTAGTGGTGTCTAAAAGAATATGGTCTTGCTCTGTGTCACCGGGCTGGAGTGGGAGTGAAAGCGAAGTGTTTGAAGTTCTTGCAACATTGCCCAAGTAGAAAGTCCTTCGAAGATGTGGAGGAGTGGAGAAAACAAAGCAAGATCAACAACAAGTTCGACATGTCTTCTATATGGTTCTCAACCAAGTGGTCCGGCAGGTTTCACATGAGTCCAGTGGTTCCTACACCCCCTGGTGCCATACCGAGCCCGCTCTCCAGACCCAGTGATGGGGGCGCCGGTCGACCTTCCCGACCCCTAGGTCGATCTCGGAAACAAGGGTCGACCTCGGTCGCGAAGTGCGAGAAGTGAAAGGTTCTTCAGAACCCTAAGGATCCGTGCCCTGAAAAACTCCGGGTTTTGAGATGTTTTGAGGGTACATGAGGGGCCCCAAACCCTTGTGAACTAAAGGGTTTGACTCCTTTCAAAGGAGGGTGCAAGGATAGGGCGATGTCCCAGCACCTTCATGTCGGGGTCACCTGGGCGAAACCTTCGCCCCAGCCCACTACCATCCGGGATCTCCCTAGTAGGGACACCCCCCGACATGAAGGTCACAATTCAAGGATTGACCCCCAGGATTCGGTTTGGACAGGTCAACCCAGTCGTAAATGATGATAGACTAAAACCAAACAGCTCCAACAGTCTTACGCTCCGTGGACCGCGGTTCATCGGACCTGGCCCTCGGACCTCGGACCTCGGTTCCTGCATCGGACCTCCAGGCTTCTCTCCGTTCCATCATGAACACCTGCCTAAGAATCAAGGACCCTCAGTTCAGTGAAGCTTGGCTTCGGGTCCCAACCCGCTGCGATGCAGCGTGAAAGCCCTCCAGTTGGGAGACCTCCAAACCTGATGCGGCACAGACCTTGCTGATGCTCTCGCTCTTCGGCCTGGGGATCTGCATGAGGATCTTCCGGATCTGCGGTTCGAAGCCCATGTCCAGCATCCGATCCGCCTGGCGCAGACCGCAGACCGCAGACCGAGGTTCGCTCCGTTGGACCCGCGAACGCCGCGGCGAAGAGGTGAAGCCGAGGTGTTTGGGGCGTGTTCGGTGTCCAAAGTGCGGACCAGCCGGTGGGTCAGGTCCAGGTGGGCAGCTTTTCACAAAATGAAAGAGCCGGCGTCCTTGGTTGAAGCTAATTAAGTTGTGTAGAGGCAATCATATGTTCGGATTATATCAGATAGGTGCAGAAATCATGTTCTGGGTGCGTGCAAGTTCCAGTAGAACTTTCAGAGGTTTGTGAAAACGACGGGCGAGGCGGCAAGTGTTTTTAGATGGTCAGAGTAGCGACACAGAGTAGAGAGCACCAGCTATGCAACAAGTGGATCAGATATGGATGTCAATCAAGAAATGCTAAGATGGCATGTCGGGTCGGTCGGGTCGTCGTGTGTTACTTTCTGATGTCATTTCTCTAACATGCAAGTTCTTTTCAAGGGGTCGAGCAAACCCACCATTCTAATGGCATTCCAGGTGGATGGTGTGAAAGGTATTGCACGGTAAAAACATTGCAAAAGAAACGGACCAACTCCACTTCTGACCAATTCCGTTGTTTAAAGCAGCACAAACCGGTCCAACCCCCCCAAAAAAAAGACCCGGCATGATTGATGGTTGGAGATGGTAGGGGGCGATCTGCGAGTACTGGGGGCTACTACAAAAGCGGTGCAGGATGTTCTGTCCACTAACAATTATCAATATGAGGCCAAAGTTTAAACAAAATGAAGAGCAATTGCCAGTCTCATCACACTGACAAGGATAGAACTAGGATGAACTATAGGGCTTTATGCTGTGCTGTCTTCTACCCCAACACGTGTAGTTTATATACCTGGACCCTCCAAAGTACCTTAGAAAATGGGACATGACCCCATACAAATACGTACTTTGAGACTCCAGGTATATATCTCCTGAGTGATTCGTGTGCATTGGAAAAAAAACACGTCGGACAAGGTCAGCGCTCCTCATCCAAGGTCAGCTTCACCACACGCCCCAACCGCAGCTGGCCACCCTCACAGAAGTCCTCCCCGAGAGAAATCGCGAGGAAAAGAGGCCGGTGTATAGGCACGTGGACCGTCGTTGGAAGCCCAGCGCGACGCAAGAACGGGGTCGACGCTTGGGTGTCTATTCCAAAAAGGGAGACCTTCCAACAAAGACCACCTTGGAAGGAAAATATGTCTCCAACAAATTGGTGGGGTGTCGACACCCCAGAAAAACATTAAAAACACGCGAAGGATTTGGGAGGTCCGATGGAGGTCGGACGCTGCAGTTTTACTTGACCCCCAAATCACCACATCTGAACAAGCCTGAAGAAGGACACCTCAGAGAGATTGGGGTGCGTGCGTGGCGCCATAACGGAGATATCCACACACGCGACCACGGTGACGAGCATCCTTTCTTCCTTCTCCCTGAAATAATCATGGTGAGGTGGATGGCATAGGCCTCTTTCCAGACCACTTGATCAAAACAGGCGAGTCCACTTCCATGTGAATGACCTTGGAGAGTAGTAGCCCTTTCACACCTTTCACTGGATCTTGAGGTAAAATACCTTGGTCAAATGAGGTTGGCCGATCAGGCCGCGTGGCGGACCAGCAGGACCAGAAATAGTCAGAAGGACAACTGAATAGTCAGAGCCGAAAACGGATTGCCACACCAAAAGGACACCAAGGCTGTGGTTGAGTCCATGATTTGAAGACCCAGCAAGAACGATCGTGTCTGACACTTGTAGTTGAGTTCGGGTTATGGCAGGTAACCCGCACACATCCAGTTCTGGCTTTCAGTGCTGAACCCAAAACGCATCTACTTGGCTTCCAATGCTTCCAGTGTCGGGTCGTGTCTGTGCTTCCTTCCCCCCCAAAACAGAACCGAAGGACTGTCCGGACTCGTGCAGTCCTCATTGGACCGGTCCTCATCCTTCGGAACACCGACGCCCGGACGGGCTCTCCGCACCATCGGACCCACATACGTCGGCCCCCTCACTGGGCCGCATCCGCCCAGCAGGTGCCTGAATGCGCCCTGGAGTGCCCACCACACCATGCACCCCCATGCGGATCTGATCTGCCTGTTTCACAGGCGTGTGTCGTGGCGTGTGTCGTGGCGTCACCGGCATGTGGCGGTGGGGCATGCGACATGGCGCAAACCAAAGAAGGGGGCACGTCTTTGGCGGGTGTGGTATGAGGGGAAGTCGGAGCATTGCGATGACCAGGTCCTTTACCCTCTCTATCCTGAGCCGAATTCGTGAGTGGGTCAGTGCACTCACTGACTCCTTGAAGGCCATATCATGGGATATCTAGTTGATTGGGCAACATAGGTATACGCATGCACCGCGCATTTCTCGTGAACCTCGCTTGCCTTCTCGAGCGAGCTAGTTCAAAGGGATTTTCCGCACCCGGACGGCTCAAGTGGCGAGGTGTTGTTGGCGCTAGTCTCAGCGCTTGCGCCGTTTTCTGGGATGGAACCTGAATCACCTCCCATTAGCTTGCTGCAGGTGGGCAAAAGCTTTCAAGCCTTGCTTCTGAGCCTGTGATCAGGAATCAAGATTGTGGAAGTTTCCATCTCAAACGGAAAAATCACAGAGCCTGAAAAGAAGAACTCACAGCCTACCGAAACTTGTTTACGACTTGACATTCGAAAACCAAATCACATCAGATCACTACCTAGTACAATGAAAGTATGTAAAACAAGTGTCCTTGTTGGGAAAACCGTGTTCTGCAACATGTTGGTAGGAGATTCCATAAACACATCAGATCACTATAGGGAACTGCTTGGAGTTTCTGACTCAACCAAGTTTGGGGTGTTCTCAGTCAACCGCCTTCAGCCCAACCTCAGTCCGCACCGACCTCACCGACCTCACCTGTGGTGGCTTCGGAGCACCGCCGTAGCAGCACACGGTGCGGATGCCCGCCGCCCGGCCGAACCTGGGAGGAGTCGACGGACTGAGACTGGGAGGGTCGAGTCCTCCATGTTGCTGGGAGGTTCAGCTCATGTAGACTGTTGAGTTCAAAGATTAAACCACTCCTGGTGCCTGGAGATATCATTCTGGAGGCGTTCGCCCATGACGGCCCTTGCTCGGTTTGACTCAAGGGCGCTCCGTCGCCGCACAGCGCATCACTCTGCCACCAGACTCACAGACTTGTCACTCCTACATGGTCCCATCATCTCTCCTGCGCGGTTTCGCAGGTTCTTCATCCCTTCACCAACCCTTCAGCCCTTCACCCAACCCCCGCCCGGTTTTCATTCCGCCGCGCATGCCTTTTTCCTCCCAAGGCACTTGTCGGACTCCTCCTGGATCTGAATCGCCAGCTCTCGCGTGGGCGCGATGACCAGCAGCGACGGGTCGCCGGCGGCGACGCCTTTGGTCAAGATGTCGGTAAAGGCCGGGAGCCTCGGTGCTCGGTCGGTGCGAGGTGCTCGGTGAATGGTGGCTGGTCTTCTTGGAGTTTGAAACGGCTGGTTGAGGTGGGTTTGGGGGGGGGTCCGGTCCTTTGGATTCGTTTGGAATGGTTTGGAGCTGTTGGATGGGTTGAAAGTTGTGGTTGGGTTGAGGTCCAAACCTTGCCAGGATGCGGATGCGACAGTCGGCAGTTTGAGTTCGAGACCCTGTGAGGAAGGATCATTTAATCACATCACCAACCGAAAATGAGTATATTACCACTCTCCTGGCACCCACCCCAGTCCCACTCTCTCAAGTACTTGGAGGCCAAGGGAATATATCCTAAACATATTTAAACATACTTTTAACTTTAAACTGCCTACCATGAAGCTGGACAGCACAGTTCCTGCCACAACGGTGCCAGTGATGTTTTGACCCCCCCAAGATCGATCCTCCTCGCCTCCCGCGGAGAGGGCTCTTGCCGCCGGATCGGACGAATTCACCACTCCGACCGGAGCTTTCGGACGAGTCGACGTGCGACGTGCGACGTGCGCCACCCGGACGTCGGACGGGGCGGGGCACGGAAGCAGCAGATCCGGAAGTGGATTTTTACGTGGAACGTGGCATGGGGGTGGGCATGGGGTGGCCCCGAGCTCGTTCAGATGACCCAGGATATCCGAATACAGTACCTAAATTAGGTGCTTCTCACTCCACGAGGATTGATGATATTCAGGGAGTGGAGAGCCATCTTTTCAAAGCACCGAAAACGGCTTCCTAGACGTCCAAGCATTGATTTAAGAGCCTGAATCCCAACCACGGAATTTGACGCTACAACACCAGGTCAACATAGGTCAATGGTCAATCCATGTGTTTAATGGTTTTGGAAGCCGGCTGAGCCACCCGGTGCCCTTCAACCCTTTCAAGGCACAAAAAGGCCAAGGTTTTGCCGCTTCCGGTGGCCGCCACCCCGATGACATCCAAGTTTTGCATGGCCAGGGGCCTGAAGGTGCTGCTTGCCAACCTAGTAGATGGCCTCCGACCTAACAGCAATGGCCTCCACCCTAAGAGCGATGGCGTCCAACCTAATTGCGA